GATCAAGTTTCTGATAGTCTTCCTGAGTATTTTCTAAGAACTGACATGGAAAGATTCGAAGACATGATACTGACACCATCTGATACTACTGTCACAGACAAGCAATTTTGTGGTACCAAAGAGTTTTCATAGTGGATTTTGCTAAATCCTGTGATCGATGTAACATTGCCCCCAAGTGATTCAGATGGAGATTTTCCCCTGGCTATTCAGCATTTTGAGAGATTCTTTGAATCTCGACTTGACTGTCCCAGATGCGTTAGACAATGGTCATGTCATGCCCCTTGATTATTGGAAATTTGTCATTGGAAGCGTCTTCCCATTTGAAGTTATCATGTTCATTGAGAGAATTTATGTTCATTGGATATTCATCACGCGAACTTCTCCGTTGTCGAACAATTGGCCATATGCAAACAGATGTATTCAAACAATGCAAAGTTTATGTCTGTCTTGAGAAAAAATTGAAAAATTCACTTTTAATAAGCAACAAAAATTTGTAAGAATATGAACTCAACTTAGGATCTACAGTAAGCCTTACAGGAGTCAGGATACCTTTTGCAATAGCATGCTTTCGAACTAACCTATGCTTCAATTAGGACTTTTAAAGGGTTATAACGTGGCCCGGTTCACAGTTTTAAGAAACAAAGGATAAGGCTCAAAGTTTATTTTTACCCACCCATTATCCCTGATGTTCTCCAGTCCTAAACTCAGTCAATTGCGTGAGTATCTCCTAATAGAAACTGGAATGATATTTTGGTGATGGTTCCGATATTGGAATTTTATTCGAGAAGGCAGTCATTTTTGCAACACTTTTCTGTTGTTGAGGATTTGTAACGACCTCTTTTTTTTTATTATCCCTAATTTTTGCCTGACTGTTTTTGCTTTGAGACTACAGTCAGCGGGATTCCCTAGTTTTTCTTAAGTCTCCTTCATAGGTTTCGACTCAATGGGATTTTCTTTTGAGAGATAATGATTTCCTATTTTACGGGGAACTATCGCCGTCTTTTGATTCAGAAGGATGTTTTTTATGTCATTCGTTGTGTATGAAGTGAAAGCTTGCGACTGAATGTGCATTTGAATTAAATTAGAAACTAACCTGCCCCCAGGTTATGATTAAAGGTTTCAATTTATGCGAAGAGGAAAACTCCTACTTCTCAAAGGGGTTGACTAGGGATTATCCTCCATATAACTCCACTATTTAGGAATTAAAACAACGTCTGTACATCGTCAACAAGGTCTGTTCAAAATCACATTGTAGGGATTAGGGTATTATTTTTGTCATCCTCCCTCTAAAGGCTTACGGCTTGCAGTCATGAGTTGAATGTCATACAAAAAAGGAGTAAAAGCATAATTTCAGTATAGTGAAAACGAATGGATTAACTCAAGACAAACATATGAAATACATTAATGAGAATAACCAAAGTTTGGCATAAAGATAATTGTTTGAACAAACTAAAGAAATTACAAACGAATACTCAAATGAAAGAAAATCTTCTCCGCTTTAAATTTCTCACTTCAGATGGTGTGCCTTTGAGGGATGACAAAAAAAATTCAATTTGACCATCTTGTGTGAATTCCAACACTCCTTCGTCAATCAGGTCTTGAATCTTGTTCTTCAATGTCCAACATACGTTAGTGTCGTGTCCAACTATTGGAGTGGTATGCGCACCTTTCTTTGTGATTGTAACGGGGAGAAGAAGTATTAGGTTTTTGAGGAGGCTCTTTCAATGTAACCAGCTTGGCCTCCAACATATGATGCAATGCTTGAGCCAAGGACATGTTGATCTCGGTAAATTGTCTTTCGAGTGTATTCTGCCTACACTGATGACCCTGTCGTTGTTGGCGAGGTCATTGTTGGGCTCGCGATGTAGCAGTAGTTTGGAAAGATCTACTCTGAACCAAGTTAACTTCCTGTCTTATCGGAGGTTGATTAATGACTTGATCCCCAATTCTAGTTGTTTGTTCCATACGATTGTATTCGTCTTAATGAAGCTTGTTGATGAGAGTTCTCAACTCTTCTTATCCCCGAGCTAAGTTTTGGATAAGATCCATCTATCCCAGCATCTGAATTCTCATCGTCACTATCTCGGCTTGCAATTGTTTCAGCTGGTCATCCTTGTTGTCTTTAGGATTCTTCTTGGTCATGCTCTCAATGAGGAGTGATTTCACTTCTTCTTGCCCCTTGGATAAATTCAGGAACAATTCTTGAAGCTGTCCATTTTGGGTCTGAAGATCTTGGACAATTTATTCGAGAGCCATTTTTTACCGGAATAAACAGTAAGCCGATGAGAAAACCTGTATGGGGAAGACCTGTCATGATATGATGCATGATATGTGGATGCAATGTTTTCAAGGATCTTGCGGGGTAAACACAAGAAAATGTGAGAAGTTGAACTTTGATTACAACTTTGAAGAACTTTGTATCGTTGAATTCCCTTCTATGAGAATCATGCTCACCATGTCATGTGGGTCATAGCCTTCGACTCAAGACAATGTGATTTGGTCTTTGACATCATTTGGTTAGAGGAAAATAAACCTTCTTGCCACTTGATAGACAATGGTTTATGATACCCTGCATCACATGCCCTTTAAGATCCTTGAAATGATCAGTGGAAATGCTATGGCATGAGGTCATAATGTTATGTACAAATAATCATATACAAGCGAAGCAAATAAATCCTTAGGTTTAGGCTTGCATGGGGTTTATAGGTAAGTACCCTCTTGAATTTTAGTTGGTTTAACCTGTCCTAAAAAGTAACTGAGTTCTAGGGAATCTCAATATCATTGATCTTTCTTCATCGGGCATTGTTTCAGCGCAAGCCTCTTTTTTAGCGACCGAAATATCCCGAAAGTCCGATCTCAATGAGTGTAGTATCGAGTATCAACCAGCTTCGGATTGCACCAAAGCCGGCTATCTCACTACTTCCTAATGGCTAAGTTATTCAATTAAAGTTTCTAAGGTCAGTTAGTGTTTCATGACACCACACAGCAGCCACGTATTCTCCTTAATTCGCCATAAGGGATACCGGTACACACAAATGTGTCACACTAATGTAGTTATTGATTCAACCATATCGATTTATAACGTACATTCTCCACAATCATTGCTACTTACTTAATAATGTTCCCAAATCCGGGTAGAGGATCTATTCAAAACCCAAACATGGACCCAAAAATGTAAAGCAAGCAAGTCTAACAAGGAAAGAATTTAAAGGTGATCTGGTCTCTAAGGTAACCTCATTTTTAAATACTATCCCCAGTAGAGTCGCCAGTTTTGTAATACGGTGGGAGAACTGACTTGGTTATTTTGCGTTTGATCGCAATTGTTGTGGATAGCAAGAGTCGCCATCGACTTTTCTTTTATCCAATAAAGGAAAGGGTGAAAAGAACAGGAAAGACCTTTTGAGATACTTTCTTGAGTTCGGGGGGTAGTTTATGAAAAGGGAAGGTGTTAGCACCCTTTTCATCTGTAGTTATCTACAGGCTCTTAATTGCTATCTCACTTTTGAAATGCTCTGTTTGAAATGTGTTTGTGATGATTTTGAAAGTATTTTTGAAAAAGTGTCATCGTCTAGGTGAACTTTGTAATGATTCTCGTCTCTATAAGAATGTGTACAAAGTGTTTACTTTTGGAAATATTTCATTTTTGAAAGTGTTGGTGTATTTTTAAAAGATGTTGTTTGGAAAATGTTGTGAGCAAGCAACTATGAACGTTCTACCTATTCAAAAGGTCTTTGTTCCTTTCATCCTCCTTTAGATGTTGTTATCTTACCATTGATTTGGTAAGAAGCCCTATCATTGGATGTGAGGGACAAGCGTGGGTCGTTGTACAGTCATAGAAGGCAACTTGTGGGATGCTTTAGCAATTTTCGTAAGGGACTAAGATCGTTTTACCGAAGGCAACGTCGAAGGGTCATCGAAGGACTACGATCTTTTTCTATCGAGGGTCTTTGCTAAAGTGTCCCATATTCGAGGGACATGACTATTTTTTACGAGGCAACAATCGAGGTTACCCTAAAGGTGCGTGTGTGAGAAGTGTGTTTGATTCAAGCTTTATTTGTCTTGATTAGGATTGTCTAGCGATTGATTTTAAATCTTGCCATACACGCCTAATTACTATACAGTATAAGGGAATGCGGTAAAGTGCGAAAAATAAAGTTCTACGTTATTACAAAGCTTCGAGAATAGGGGTACAAATTTATGAATGGGGATGACAAGTAAGAATAAACCCTACTTACTATTACAAGGCTTTGACAGTTACATGAATCAATATACAAAATGATAGAATGTACAAAAATGTAAAGATAATGTAAAGAGAAAAGAAAATTGTTTTTTATGTTTTGTGGAGAAGGTTTTAATTATACTAATCAATTTGAAAAAAAGTTAATTAATTAAATTCCTAAAGTCTAAGTTAATTTAATTAAAAGTGATAATTAAAAAAAAACTAAGTCTTAATTAATTTAATTAATTAAGAAAGAAAATGTTTTTAGGATTTTTTACAAATAAAGCAAAAATAAAATAAAATAAAGGTTTTAGTCTAATTATTTAATAAATAAAAACCTAAAACAAATATATTTTTGTTACTTTTCATGTAAATAGAAATAAACAATTCAAAAGAAAATTAAAACCTATTCTAAATTACTCAAAATTATCAAGTAGAGAAATTCTAATATTTTTGTTCATTTCTTGAGTTTATAAAAGAAGGAAAAAAAAAGAAAAATTAAACTAAACAATAGACTAACTCACTTTTTTTATATGAAGACAAAAGAAAATCAAATTAACAAATAAAATTCTTTTCTAACACCCTTTGTCATTTTTATGAAAATTAAGAATGAGAATCAATAAATAAAAGAAAACTGAAAGTAGGGCTTGAAGTGTTGGGGCATTGGGATATTGAGTGCAAGCCCAAGTTATTATTTGTTTTTGGTAATGACAAAAAAGGGGATATTGGGTCAGACAGCCTTAGGCCCACCCGAATTCAATTTTGAAATGGGAATTGAGAAATGAAAAACCTTATACCTCATGAGGCGCCGCTGGTGCTGTATCATAGGGAAGAGGAAATTTTTTTGTTATTCCAATTAATGACCTATCGAAAAAAAATAAAGAATTTACAGAAAATCATAACTCTCTCTTCTTCTCCCACTATTCTCCTTCTCTTCTCTCTAAATCGTGGTGCCTTCCTCCGTCACAATCCGCCTCCGATCGACCCTCAACCTTTGCAAGTTCGCACGTCATCTCCTCGCGGATATCACCTCTGTGCTTCTGTCTCAAGTGATTTAAATCTAACTCAAGCCAACACAACAGCAAACCAAAGAATACATTCAGAGAATAAAATCTTCGAAGCTTACCTGTCGGACTTTGTCCGACGCGTCTTCGACGGCGGCGACGAGAAACTAGAAACCAGAGGTGTAGGAAATGTTTCAGGTACGAACTCTCTTTGTTTTCGTATGTTCTTTGCTCAACTCTTATTCTACTGTTGCTTGCAATTCTGGACTTCCTTTTTCTTCCTTCTATGTTTTCTCTATGCTTTCAATTTTCTGTACCTGTAATTTGTGCTTCTGTCGTGTGGTTTTGTTGTTTGTTACTTGTGCGATTCAAAGAGCCACCGGCGTCGTTGTTTGTGTGTTTTGAGTTGAATGAGCATGAGGATGGTTTTGAGGAAGATTTTGAGGTAGTTTAAGGGAGTTGTTGGTGAGTAAAATGATAATGGAGGCTGGAAGTGGTACGAGCTGATGGTTCGGTGGTGTTGGCAAAGATGAAGAGTTTTGCGAAGGGAGTTCGAATGGTGGGTTAACGATGGTGTCTAATGATTAAAGAAGAAGGTTGAGAGGCTCAGAGCGGGTTTCTATAGTGATTTGAATTTGGAGCGTGAGAGAGGGAGGATGGCAGTATCAAGGTGATGTTGTTGAAATCAGTTTGTGGGTTTGTTGAGTGAAGTGTTGAAGGTGATTGTATGGAGGTTTTTTTGATAGGGGTTTTGAGGTGAGCTTTCTATGAAAACAATATGGTTGAGGGTTAGAGAGGTTTATGAAGAAGTTTGAGAGAGATTTCGTACTCCTCACTATTCTGTCTCCTTGGACAAAAAAAATATGGGATTTAGGGAGGAAAACAGTGATAAGTTTGAACAGTTTTGGCAGCAGATTGATGCAGGTTATGGACTGATTTATGCAGGGGTTTTGAAGCAGGTTTTGGATTGATGCAGGGGCAGCAACAGCAGGCTGGTTTTGGAGTGTTATGGGTAGCAGTGTAGACAAGGTTAGCAGGCTGGACATGGTATTTTGAACTGGTTATGTGCAGCAAGTTACAAGTGGATTGGTGCAAGTTTTGTTATGTGAAACGGTTTTCTTCAACAATCATGTTGATTTTTGGTCTGTTTGGCTTTCGCAGGGCAATTTAAATTGGTTTTGTATGTGCAGGTTGCTGCTAGTCTCGGTTCAAGTTTGGTTTGGAACTTGAAGTTTAGCATGAAGTTGTAAGAGAATTGTGGCATGAGGAAACTTTGAAGATTTAGAACTAGGACTTGAGTTTTCATGTACTTTCTTTGTAATTCCTCTTGTAACTTTTGGTATGATGGCAAAGATGTAATGGTTTGTAATGGTGTAATGAAATTTGGACAAAGTTTGAATAACCTTCATATTTTGTAATTATTCTTCCAATTTGTACTTTGAACAAACAATCCCTAATGATACCAAAAGTATGCAAAGTGTCTTTTAATTGAAATTTGAATTTGAATTCTCCAACATCTCTTGAATGAGTTCCAAAATGCCTTGTGCCATGAAAGTGAAATTGGATTGGAATCATTGAAAAACACTTTCAAAATCACACCCTAAATTCCTGATTTCTTTTAGAGTTCCTGATTGAACTAGTTGATAATTGAATGAAACTTTCCACTTGAATGACTTTCGAATCAAAATGGACCTCGAATAAGTCTTCATGATCTTTGAGTTAGGCCATGAGAATTGTTTGGAATTTTGTCATGATAATGAATCAAGTTGACTAGGAACTTGAATGAAATTATTTGGAATACTTGGTTCCATGGACTCATAATCAAATTGAATCAACAAATGCCCATGTATACCATTTTTTAATCTGGAAAAAATCATACACAAAACCCTAATTAGGAAGGAGGAGATAGATGAAACTTCACCTTGTAGCCTAACGAATTGTTAACTTTAATTCTCCAAATTCAAATTAACTTGTAATTGAAGTAAACAAGTGTGATACATTGGGAAGAACTGACTGTTTTTTGGAATGCTGGTTTGCGTTTTGCATTTGTTTTTGCAAAATGTCGCGGTAAGCAAGAGTCGCCATCGACTTTTATTTTATCCAACAATGAAAGGAAAAAAAGCACAGAAAAATTCCTTTTTCGAGATTTTTCTCGGGTTCAGGGGGTATATTATAGAAAGGGAAGGTGTTAGCACCCTTTCTATCTGTGGTTATCCACGGGCTCTTAGGTACTTGCTCAAATGTTTTCAAAATATTGCTTTCTTTGTGCTTGTGGGTTTTGAAGAAAAAAAATTTGTTTGAAAACTTCGATTTAACTCTTGCTTCTGTCCTCAAGAGTGTATGAAGTGTTTTTGAAAACATTGTTCGAAAAGTGTAAGTGTGAAAATTTTGTTTTGTTTTGAAAGAGCAAGTATCTAAGAACCATCTACCTACTCGAAAAAGGAATCGTTCTATGCTAATTTCCTTTAGGAAATGCTATCCTACTATGAATGAGTAGGTAGCACCGTCGTTGGAATTTAAGGGTCAATTTGAATGCGGGACTTACTGTCACTAAAGCAATGTTAGGACGCCTTAGCGGTAACCCTAATGTCTTAGATCATTTGTTTGAGGCAACAATATCCGAGGCAACCATTTCGAGGCGACTATGATCTTTTAGACAAGAGGCCGACCTCTAAAACGAATTATACTCAATGACCGTGTACGAAGGCAACCAAGTGGAGTGTACCCTAAGAGTGCACATGTGCGAGTGTGTCGGTTTTAGTTAATTTTATCTTTGTACATGTTAAAGGTGGTCTAAGTTGATTTTAGGTTAAAACATTCAGTCTTGTCATGCATCCTATTATCAAACATGTAACAGTTATAATTTGCGGGAAATAAAATACGGAATTTAAATTACAAGGCGTCGGGTATTTACATCGCCAAAGACAAACCCTTTAAAAATAAATAAATCGATAAAAAATAAATAAAGGTCCTATTTACTATTACAATCCAGAATCAGATACATAAATGGATAAAAGAAAATAAATCGCGTGCGGGAAATTAAGTCGAGTGCGAGCTTAGGGTTTTGACCCTTTTTTGAGAGAAGATGTCTTTGTTGTTTTTTATTTAAGGAAGAAATAAATCTAAATTAATTGCTAAATTAAATTAATTAATAAAAATAAATTATTTTTTTGTTTTTTGTTATTTTAAGAAAGAAAAATAGAATAAGTAATGTTAGTAATTAAAAAACCTAATTAGATCTAATTTAATTTTAATGTTTACAAAAAATAAGTTAAAGTTATTCTAGTTAAAACTTAAATTAATTTAATTAGTGTTTATTAATAAAATAAAAAATTAAAATTTGATTTGATAAAGAAAATATTTTTGTGGTTTTTATTTTATAAATAAAAGAATTTTTTAATTGGTTAGAAATTAAATAGAAATAATAAGACAAATAATTAAAACAAAATAAATAAAATAGAAAGAGAGAGGGGTTTGGGCCTGAAATGGGGGCATGAATAGAAATCTGAAGCCCATTAGAGTTGGCCTTGTTGACTTTTTGAGATCCAGTAGGCGTGCATGGACTTTGCTTGTGGTAGACCCTCACTCCTGGATCACCAGATCTGGCCTTTGGTCATCTGGCTATTGGATGTATGAAGGTGCACGGTGAGCTGCAGGCTTGGATACACACACAATTGCTTGAAAGAAAAAATCAAATAGGAATTGGGGGACCTGGGATTCGAACCCAGGTCCTGAATGTGATGCTTCGCTTTCCTTGCCACTACGCTACTTTGCTTCATTTGTTAGTAATATGCAAAATAATAATAATAAAGGAAAACAAGTTAATGGCCAGAAAAAATATAAAAAAGCGAATGCCATTTGAACGGACCAATGGGCAGGGGACACTTCATCGTTCCTGTCCTGAAACTTGTAAAACATTTACCTGCGGATTTGAATCCGCAGCTAAATGCGCAAGCCTGTTCTAAAATCTTCCCTAGGTCACATAAATCAATTCCCAGAGCATGGTTGGGTTCGTCTTGGCCAGCTAGTCACAACCATAGCCATTATTATGGCCAATTGTACCTGAAAATAAAAGCCCCAAAAAATGCCTCCAAGAACCCTAACTATGGCGCTTTACGTTATAGGTTAGATAAACAAAATTGAATAATGCAAAAAGCTTAGAAATGTTGTGAGGATTACAAATATGCAAGCAATTTGTTCAAATGATGCAAGAATGATGAATTACAATTTCAAGAACATGGGTGTATTTCGTGATACTTACAGCGCGTTGTGGTGTGTGAGGAAGCTTGCTTTGGATTGGTTTAGCTTCAGTGAACGTCCAAGAAGCGATTGGGATAAGTCTTGGCTTCTGAAAACACCTCTAAGCACGACTTCGATCTCAAGCTTTTTACCACTTTTTTCAAACTTTGTTCTGCCTATGTTTGCACTTTCCAACCCTTGTTTCGATTGCCTTTTCCTCCTTAAATATCATGCTTTGCATTAGGGTAGAAATTATGGATTGAATCTCTCTAAATCAATGCCTTGGGATTTGATTTGATCTCCTCTTTACAACTTGCCAAATTTGCCCAAATCTCAATATTTTTTACATGGTTTTGCTTGATACGAATTTGATGATGTTAATGATGATTATCCAATCCTGAAATGGCCAAAAGACCTGATGTAATCAAAGTTTTGGATTTTAAATGATTTAATTTGATTTAAAATGAATAAATTCAATAAAAAATCAAATGAAATAATAAAAATGAAATATGAGCTCATGGATGAATCTAGGACACGTGGGCAATGATGCAAGCTCAAATCAAGTGGAAAAGAATGGGCCCATTTGACAAAATTTGAAGTTTTGGGGATAGTTGACTTTTGGCAATTTTGCAAAAATATCCAAATTCAACAATGCATAACTTCTTCAACTTTGAACTTTTGGAGGTGTTCTTGGACTTTTTAGAAATCTTGAGATGTCCTCTAACCAACCCTTTTGGTCTCATCTTAATTTTATATTCCATTCTCAAGTTATAAGCTTTGGCAAAAATGGTGTTTTTCTTGACTTTCAAAAATGACCTATAATGTCCAAATTTATAACTTCTTGTGAGTGCATTTTTTTATCTTGGGGTATGAATATGGATTATAGGAAATTGAGTCCTCTCAAAAATGAGCTTTGGATGGGTCATTTCTCATAAAGTATGAGAAAGTTATGCTTGGTCAAAGTTGGGTTGACTTTTCCTACAAAACCCTAATTTAGCAACTTTTGAGTCTTGATGAATTTTGAGCAATCCTTGATGAATCATGATCAACCCTTGATCAAATGATGAAATATACTTCAAAATGAGCATGTTGACAAAAAATCCTTAAGTTTGACTATTTGTAGGTCACAGTTGACTTTTGCCCTAACACAGTCGATTTTTGGACCTTTGAGCAATTCACTGAGCAAACTTCCTCTGCAAGGCTTGAAACTTGACATGGATGATCTTGAGAACATATTAGGACATTTGGGAGAACTTGAGGTCATTTGGACTCATAGATATTGATGCAACACAAAACCCTAATTTGGGGTTGACTGCCTTAGGATAGCTTGACTGTCCAACTCTTGAGCAATCTTGAGCCACTTGGAGATTTTCCTTGCAATGTCTTAAGAAATATGAGAGGGCAAATTTTGGGGTACAATAGCTGCCCATGTTCAATCTTCTTAAACCTGGGGATGTAGATTGGCTTTCGTGCCTTTCGTGATCCGAAGGTGGAAGATGATTGAACACTAGAGTGCCCAGAAATTTGCACTCGTATGAAGTGGTATCAGCCTTGTTATGTCGGGAATGGGCTTAAAGATTCCATTTGGAGATTGGTGACAGGAGGATGGGCTTAAAGATGCCATCCGCAGGAGTGTCGATCGCATAAGAGATTCTTTAGCGAGAGCTTGCATACCTGTTGTTGTGGAAGATTCCGTTGGGGAAGTCTGATCTTTGTTGAGATTTAGGGACTTGTCTGTACCTCAACCGAGAGAACATCTCTGCTGAGTTTTAAGAACTTATCCGTAATTCAACTGGGGGGAAATCTGTCGAGATTTAGGAACTGTCTGTAATTTAGCCGAGGATAATTCAGTTGAGATTTAAGAACTCGTCCATACTTCGACGGAGGAAAATTATCGAGATTTAGAACCTTATCTGTAATTCAACCGAGACTAATTCAGTTGAGATTTAAGAACCGGTCAGT